ACAACAACAATGCCCCCCTTAAATTTCGATTTAAAGGATTCATCTTCTTGGTTCTTTCGGTAAATAATAAATAATAAAAATAAAACATATAAAATAATTCTCACAACGTTCGGCCACAACGCAAACAGCCGTCCTGGAGAACAGGTCTGTCGAGGAGACAGAGTCTGAATGTCTTCTCGACAGACGCTGTTCTCCATCTGAGGACGGCTGCTGCGTTGTGGCCGAAGCGTCGTGAGAATTATTTTATTATGTTTTAATTATTTCCATTCTACGTGACTTTATCGAAAGAACCAAGAAGATGAATTGCCCCCCTTGTTAAATGTTGAATGCCACACGGCGAGACTTTCAGGATGTCCCAGGTCGGGTGTGCTTTGAAAGAGAGGGCAATCGTTGATCGTCGGGGCAAAACAAAAAAACATTGAGACAGGTGGCGGCAGCGCTGGGCGCACGCGGTGTGACGTCTGTCTGCGTGCATTACGCCGGGGCTCCGACTCAACACCGCCGATTTGTTCATTCGCTTCAGATTCCACGTGGTGGGGCGAAATCGCGGATTAACCGAGGACGCTCTCAATTATTATTTTGCAAAAAAAAATTGTAACAAGTTAGATCGCGTAAATATATATAAATGTGTCGTTAAAACCTGCCACCACCCGACACAGCCAACTGACTGTCGCCTGATGAAGCTGGTTGTAATTACTGGCAAAACGTCGTGCTCAGATTGTAAATGTTGTGGCTGTACTAGTGACAAATTGGCCAAATTCTGTTTACGTGACAACCCTTACTAGTTGGCTGTGTAGGGTGGTGGCGAGTTTTAACGACACATTTAGTTATTTACGCCATCAAACCCAAAACACCTCTATTATGAATAATAAAATTGTTACCCACGGAGCTATGTTATTTGTAATTCAGGAGCCACATGGTCACCACGAATGATAGTTCAACGAAGTGGCTTATTGTTCAGAAATATACAGCAGCCAAATGCGCTAAACGCGTGATGTTGATTCGACATGTGGAGGGAAATTTTGTTTCCGGAGGACCTATAGAATAGTCCACGCAACCACAGGTAGAACACGCAAACTCCAAATATACAGCAGCAGGCGTCAGGGTCGGGATCGAACCCACGACCTCCTGTATACCAGGCGAGGTAGTTAACATCTCGCCACCGTGGCGCAATTACTGAGTAACCATAACAAGGAATATGATTAACTTCAGTGCGCACAAAAAAACCCACTCCCACATGATTCCAATTACCAGTGGGGGCGAAGTGTAAAATTAAACAAATATTGTTTTTTTTAAGAGCAAGTGGGAAGAAAAAATATATAATTTCCATGCAAAACAAATAGGTTCAGTCCCTCTTAATAAAAAAAGTGCATTGTTGTATAGCAGCTTCTCTAGAGCATTGTTCTTTACAAATTTTCAGACGGTGGGGGGATGGCACTTTGGCCGATGGGTCATCATCAGTGTGAGGGCCGCCACCCATTTTAAACCATTGGAGGGTTTGACAGATCCGAGTGCTGGCCAGCCACAACTGTACACGAACAAGCTCTCCACACCATGGAGATGAGGATGCTCAGATGGAGCCTCGGACTCACTCGATGGGATCGTGTCATGAACGAAGACGTTCGGAAGCGACTTGGTGTGGCCCCCATTGCGGACAAGATGCTTGAGGCAAGGCTTCGGTGGTACGGCCATGTGATGCGAAGTGAAGATTCATCGGTGGCCAAGACTGCCGTGCGTATTGAGCCAGAGGGCCGCCGTCCACGCGGACGTCCGAAGAAGCGATGGATGGATCGAATAAGGAAGACGTGAAGACGGTCAACGCATCCCCTGAAGATGCCTGGACCGAGCCAAATGGAGAAGACAATGCCGAAAAAGCGGACCCTGCGCCACAGCGGGAACAACGCTAGGGAGAAGGAGGGTTTGACAGAATGCTCGAGGACGATGATGATGATGGGGGGTTATTCCAATCTTTGTGTATTGTCGGAAGCCCTACGTCAGGGGCAGCACCAGGAGCCGCCAGTGGCCCGTGAGCCGTGCATCGAAGCACACTGCTCTCGAGCTAGGCCAATGCTCAACTCTAGATTTGAAGCTTTCGTGACTGCAAGGATTCATACGCTTAGTTTTTTCGGTAAAGTCACGTAGGTAAAAAATGAAATAAAAATTAATAAAAATAAAATAATGAAAATAATTTAAAAAATCCGTTTTTACCTACGTGACTTACCGAAAAAACTAAGAGTAACAATGCTCAACTGTGCGACTCCCATCCGTAGAAATAAAATGCCCCCCCCAGCGGGAACGTGGGGTAAACGGGGGGGGGGGGGGGGGGGGGTCAGGCAT